GCTCCCCGCTTATGCAAATGAAGCCCAGGAAATTCAAATCTCGGGCTTCATTTGCAAGTGCGGTATGCCTACATTACCCCGCTAGTTCGAACTAGCGGGGTAGTGTAGACATACCCTAACATAGCTGAAGTTGATGTACTTACTGTGGCATCTTACGTATTGCAAGGTTGGTAGGGGCTGCTCTCCCGTCAATGCCAGCTACCCTTCTGATCCCAGGGAAGTACCGGTGTCAAAGAAAGAACTCTTGGAGATCAATTTGTCATATCTAAGCAGACACGATAAATTGACGTCTGGTGGATCGATCAGTGCAGTGTCAATCCCTAAAATAGAGGAGACAAGCTCTTATTCACACCAATTCCTGTCATATATGCTGCATGGCGTGTTAATTTTTCGTCTAATTTCTGGCATAACTATACCTTCTGCCTGCTGGAGCCAGCAGCAGCCAGGACCTGGTTCAACATCTAGGGCAGTGGTTTTAAAAGTGTGGCCCACAAACCACTTGTGATTCTCAACAGTCTTGCAGGTGGGCCGCAGGCTTGGGACTTGCCACCTCCCCTCCCCCCCCCTTCCTCCAGCAGTGACTTGCTTGTGACTTGCTCTCTCCTTGACCCCATGACTCCCTCCACAAGGTTGGAGAGCCAGCGCCAGCTTCCTGCTGTGGGAGCAGGGAGGGAGAGTGAGCCAGGTCTGGGTGGTGGGGGAAGGAAGTGACTCCACATGCTGCCACTCCCCCTCCTTATCTAGGAGAACAACAGCACAGGAAAGCACTAACCTGGAGGCTTTCCCTGCTGCTCCCATTGGCCGGAAGCATGGGAGTAATGAGGGAGCAGAGCTTAGGAGCAGCAGAAGGCAGAGCCAGGTAAGTGCCCCCATGCCCTTTATGCCACCCAGACTCCACACTCCCATTCCCCTCATACACCCCCTCCCATTGAGACCCCACACCCCCAACATGTTACCGCCCCCCCCCCCCTTCTGCATCCATTTTGTCATTATGGGTGGTTGGCTGGTGGTCTGCAGAAAGTCTGTGTTGCACGTGGTTGGCTGTCAGCCAAAAAGTTTGAGAGCCATTGATCTAGAGGATCTTTTTCATCGATATAACAGAACGGGCTTGAAATCCCATCCAGACACTGTCATACCACTCCTGGGTGCTTCTCAGAGGCAATATTTCCCCACTCATAAACACCAAGTCTGAGTGTAGAAAATAAACTTTTAATGAAAGGAGGGAAGTAGCTTGGCATGGATTTGGAAAAATACCAGAAACAGAGTTCACAGACATAATCCCTGAGGAAAAGACCCACCCAAAGTAGGTTGGGCAATGTCCTTTTCCCATCAAGTTTCTAAGTTCAGCCACCCAAAAGTCCAAACTTTTACTTGCCCAACCCTTCTCTGCACCCCATTCACAGTTGCTGCCCTTGATCAGTACAGACCCAGAATTCAGAGAGGCATCCACAGAATTCACTTCCCACTCTGGGTGAAGGGAGGTAAAGAGGTACCTGTAGCGGGGTGCCAGGTGCGAGCACCACTCCCCTGCCCCTTTTCCCCCAGGGAGCGGGGGGGGGGC